AAAAAGAACTTTCTCTGGGGAGCAGGTGATTTTAGACGTGGCGTCCTTCTTTGGTCTCTAGAAATAGCATACTAAGAGTCTGTGGAGCAGAGGGACAGAGGTCACATTTGCCCATGTTGGTGTCACTCCCTTCTCTCCAGGGTTTTGTGCCAATGCCTAAATAAATCTGTAGGGAACCAAGAGTAAGAAGGGCTTTTAATATATGAGGCTTCTGTTAGCGTGGAATTTGAATTATTGCGCTTGTATACCCCCCGCCATTCTCAGTTTAAGCGTCTTGAGGACAGTGCTGATAGGCAGTTTAATTTCCTTCACTTTGGCTAACGATAAAAATAGAAAGCACTTACTAATTGGTTAGCACTCCTGCGTGAGCTGTGAAAGAGCATCACTTATGTTCTTTCACTTAATTGTCAAACAATCCAATGCCATAGGTGTACTATAATTATAATAATACCCACGTTCCTCTCCCCTTCCTTTTAAAGATAAGAAATATTGACAGTTAGGGAACTGATTTGTTCAAGATCACACAGCTGCTAAACACAGAGGCAGGACAGAAGCACAAGTCTGTCTGACTCCATAGTCCAAGCTCTCAAATAAGAAGTTCTCATATATTAGAATCACCTGGCAAGTACTCTATTAAAATCTCTAGAGGCAGAGCTGCACATTGCCCAAGATGTCCAGTAGATTTTGAGATAGCCAGACCCAAGATTTGCGATGCTCTGCTATAAAACAATGTGTTTTACTTCCTTCTCAATAAATGTCTGTTAAGTGAATGAATATAGGCTATAATTCTTCCACTAATAATCCATTTCTTCCTTAAGGATTGCTTCTCAAGTAATGATCCTCATTTTAAAATGCAAGTATTCGTCCTGAGAAGTTGTCTCTAGATTCTCTACTGTCTTTATCAGCGACAGAGTCATGGTTACAGAGAAGCTCAGCCTCAGTGGCTACAGGAGGTATCTTATCAAGGATGGGGAAAGCCAGAAGGTAGGCTGAAATTCACATTTGATACCTCACAATGCACCTGGGGATACCTGCTGCCTGACTGTGTAGCTAAGAGCTGGAAACCTAGGGCCCTCTGTAAGTTCCTTCAAGTGTTTTTACGGTATGAAGCTCCCAGTCCTTGGCCCTTAATTGAACAAGGCTCCTGTCCTGCCAGATAATCTGCTGCCAGACATCAGCAGTGGCACGGGCTCCACGATGGTCCAGAAATGTTCCTTCAGTCACTTGTCCTTATGCTCTGGAGCCCACTTCTTTAAAGGGGTGATGACCCTCTTCCTGGCCGGCAGCTTCTCTAGAAACCTGACCTCAAACCACTTCAGCAGCACAAATGTCCATCAGGCAAATGTAACGGAATATTATTCAGCAGTAAGAAGAAATGAAGTACTAACCACATGGATGGACCTTAGGATAATGAAAATAGTATGCCAGAGTGGAAGAAGCCAGTCATACACACCACACACACAAATACATGTTGTATGATTCCATTTATACAAAATGTCTAGAATAGCAGGCAAGTCCATAGAGACAAAAAGTAGACTAGTGGCTGCCTTGGGCTGGAAGAGTTTGGTGGGGAACAATGAATGACCCCTAACAGGTATAGGGTTTCTTTGGGGGTGGTGAAAATGTCTAAAATTTATGGTAATGATTCACAACAGCATTGTGAATACCTCAAAAACTACAGAATAGTACATTTTAAATGTGTGAATTCTATGGTATGCAACTTATATCTCACCAAGCTGTGGTGGGGCCGGGGAGACAGTCCAAGGAAGCAGAAGAGTTGTAGTGAAATTAGAGTCTGAGAATCGCGAGCTCGCCAGGTGCCCATCACAACAGGGCAGTTTGGAAAGTTCTTCTCCACCCGAGGTGTACACAGGATCAGTTACTGAGGTATCCGTAAACTGATTCTATCAGTAACTTTCTAGGATACCTTTTTCTCTTCCGAACATGCATCTAATTTTTCCACCCATTCCTGTTCCTTCCTAGGGCTAAGATCACAGTATTCCCCAGAGTAAAAATACATGAAGTCCTGCCATCAGGCACACAATATTATATTTTTTAGAAAGGATTTTAAGTTAAAATATAAAGTGTATCTATTGTATCTCTTGCTTTGCACATTTTTGCTGCCAGAAATTTCAAAGATCATGCACCCGTCATTTACCAAGGGAAAAGAAGAACGTTCAGACCAGGAATGATGTTTACAAATAGGCCACGATTCCATCGATGGCTCCATGTGTCCATGTTGCCACCTCCTTTTTTATCTATTTGAGACTGTATTGACTCTTGTATGGACAGTTAGAGCAGCCTGATTCCTCCCACTGTCTCATCTTCCGTGATGCTAACAGTTACCTCCCTAAAATGCAGATATGAGGCAGCACGGCCCAGTGGATACGAGCTTGGCTGTCAGTCTCCAGCTGCCTGGATTTGAACCTCAGCTTTACCACCTATCAACTTGGTTGATTTAGGCATGTTAATCTATCCGGGAACAATTTTTTCCTAAATTTTTGTGAAGCGTAACTGAGAGCAGTATGTTATGTGCTTAGTCTAATGACAATACACAGTAAGCTTTTAGTCACTGTCAGCTCTTTACTGTTATGGCGTGTCCTCCAGTGCTGCCACATTTCCCCATTTTTGCATAATTAAGTCCAGACTTTGAAATCTGACCCCAGTCTGTGTTTTCCCAGGTGGGGCAAATATGTGGTCCCAGGTTTTTGCTCCAACCCTTTCCTTTGCTACTCCACATCTCCAATTAGAAAAGCCCTTTCTTAATTCAAGAAGATTGTACAACTAGGAAAAGACTAGAAAGCTTTTCCAAAGTTGCGTTTTCCTCTATGTGCCAACATTTTAGGCATTTGAGAGAAGTTGGCCAAAGAGAGTAATGTTTCCTAGAGAAAGTAAACAGAACTTCCTGGTGAACTGGATAAGAGTAACAAGGAATCAGGTAGAAGAAAGGGTGACTCCTAAGCTGACATCTGCAACAACGGGGCATGTGGTGGCACCATTTAATGATATAGAAAGACGTGGGGAAATTAAGGTTTGGGGAGACTAGAAGTGAAGACATCTGCATTAGCGATGTTAGGTTTGAAATGCCAATCAGACATTCAAGTGGATTTGGTAAGTAAGAATGTACCTACGAGTCTGAGGCTTGGAGTATGGTCATGAGTGTGAATCTAAAACTGAGAGGCATAACTGTGTGAGGCCAGTGAAGCTGTTCAGAGCTGTTCGGAAGAGCCCTGGGGAACAGCAACATTCAGAGATCAACTAGAGGAAGAGAAACCTGTTACACATCAATATGTAAATTTACGCACCGGTGCCTACGTGAGGTTAAGCACTGTCTTATTTATCTTTATGTCTAGTAGTGTTGGTCACACAAATGTTCTATAAATGCTTGCTGAATTCATCTCAATACTAAAAGCAAAATACTCTCAGCCCTGAAATTGAACAACTTGGCAAGATTCGCAAAGAAGCATGGAGGCCAATGTTAGCTTCTAGCACAGGATGTGGTGGGCAGTTCCATGACTGCTGTAGATAGGCTCTCCCTCCCTACATCCTAACCTCTCCCTATCCCCAGGCCCCCAGGGACACTCCAGAGAGCATAGCCCTAGTGCTCATGAGGGTATGGCACAAAGCCCAGGATCCCAGCATGGTCCCCAAAGCTAAAGGGTCTTAAGAGAGCAGCAGCTGCTGGAACATATGGGTGACCAGCAGGAGTGCCCCTTAGCTCTGGACTGGAGCTCTTCAGTGTACACAATACCCAGTTTTCTGAAAGGCTGCATGGGAAACTTTCTCTAAGTTCTTGTTATGTTTTTCCGTTGTCTTGAATGGTTTAATATCCATACTTTTCTGACCCCCTTGTTCCTATGAAGGGGTCAAGGATTTGTAAAGTAAAACACGTGTGCTCTCCCCTTCTCTCTTCTTGCCACTGTTCTGATTAGGCTTTTATCATCCTTTGCCTGGACAAACTCATTGGCTTCCTGTCTAGTCTCCCAGCCTCCATTCTCTCTCTACTCCGCCACCAGAATCACCATGCTGAAGGTCTGCTGTGTTAGAACACCCACCTGCCAAGAACTTCAGCAGAGAATAAGCTTGAAATTCTATGTCTCCCCACCATCTATCCTTTCCAGAAAACTTTTCTAGCATGATTAGTTGCCTTCAACCCCTTCTAGGGTTATAGTTAAACAGACCTCATTTTTCCCCACAAAATAGTCACTATGATTTTTCTCTGTTGTGTCTCAGCACCTGCCATTTTCCTCACCTGTTTCTCCATCTGTTATCATCTCACACAACAACTTATCTTAAGTTGTCGGTCAATGGTACCTTCATCAGGAAGCCTTCTTTATTCACCCCATGCAAAGGAGCAGTCCCTCTGAAACTATTAATGTGTATTTTATTAACAACTCTTACCAGATAGAAAAAGGGTGATGATATTGACTAATGGATAGATGGATCGTGGGGGTTTTTTTTGTTTGTTTTGCTTTGAAACTTTGACATTTTTTTATTTCAATGTGCTTTACTTAGCACATCATATGGAAGGAACTCCAGCAATATTGACTCAATAAATGAATGTGGAGCTGACTCAGTTAATCGCATAATCCATTAATAGTTAACCCCGACTTCTCACAGTTTAGCTGTTGTGTAATCCTTTCTTCATACATTGGGTTTTCTTAAAGTTGAGGCTTTCTGCTTTATGAGGTCACCATGTAGGTAACTTCTTTAACAGCTGTGCTCCTTATGGCCAAGTATCAGTGAGTGACATGGAGGAGAGAAGGACAGAAGACTGGGTGGGTTTAAGCCAAGTGAAAGGTTGATGCCTATAGGGAAGGATTTTAAGCAGAGCATTGGCTGGATCAGACTAACCTTTTAGAAGGATCATTCAATTTATGTGCAGAGGGGACAGGAGATACTAGGGACAGGAGAGCCTCGGGAGAAGGCTGAGATGGACAGACTGACCCTTAGTCCAGGTCTTTGTCAGAACAATAACTGCTGCCTCTGTCTCTTCTCAGGGCTTCCAGGGCAGCGGTTGAGGAGACCTTACCGAGGAGCACCACGCAGTAGATGCGGAGACATCGCAGTCCAGGATAAGAAACAGTAACATGGCAGCACCTGTTTGAAAGGAATTAAAAACCAACAGACTCCATTTAGATAGGAACAATGTCCAAGAAAGGGCGAAATAAGGGCGAGAAGCCCGAGGCACTCATTGTCGCCCTTCAAGCTGCCAATGAAGACCTCAGGACCAAGCTCACAGACATTCAGATAGAGCTGCATCAAGAGAAGTCCAAGGTGAGCACGGGCTACCTGAGGCTGGGCCCTGAGAGCAGCTCTGGCCATGTCACGTGCAGGGAGCACAGCTCTGCCTGCTGCCCTCCCCAGCCCTTTGCCAGAGAGGGCAACAACCCCTGCACTCAGAGATTCTCTTGGATGTGGCAGGAAGGAAGTGAGCACAGGATACCCAGAGAATGAGAAGAGCACGCTCACTAGACAGATCTGGGCCTTCTCTGGAAGCCAGATATAAAAACTGAGACAGTGTCCTCCCCCACTACCTCCAACACTTAGCAGTTGTGTGACTTTAGACAAGTTTCACCCTTGCCCCTTATTGGTTATTCCAGAAGGGGTGTCCAACCCATGGCCCATTGGCTTACATGTAGATTCTGTGAGGTTTTGGGGTTTTGTTTTTTTTTTGTTTGTTTGTTTTTGGCTCATCAGCTTTCCTTAGTGTTTGCATATTTAATGTGTGACCCAAGACAACTTTTCTTCTTCCAGTGTGCGGCAGAGAAAAGAAAAGGTTGGACACTCCTGAAGCAGTCAAAGCAATTTTCCTAAAATGTATCACATTATGTCTCTTTGCTCCCAATACCCTCCAAGGGCTTCCTACCTCTCCTGGAGTCGAGGAATTTGCCTACCACTACAGGATATTACTTGCAGCCCTCTCTTTGACTCATCTCTTCTCTCACTTCTCTCTCTCTCAATCTCTCTGCCCCAGCCTAAATTAAGAGAGAAATGCTGATCACACGCAGGGCCTCTGCCTTTGCTCTGCCATCAGTCACCCACATCTTCCACACCTCTCCTGCTCCAGGTGCCCAACTCCTGGTCACATCACCAGTCTCTGAAACAGAACACTTCCCCAGTTACTCCCCACGGCCTGTTCTAGACTTGTTTCAGAGCCATTTACATGTTTATGTGTATACTTATCTAATGCAGCCTCTCCCCAACTGAGTGTCATTTCTATGCTAGTCGGGACTTAGCTTACTTAGTATCCCTAGAGTTTACGTAACATCCAGAACTTAAAACCTCAGCATGTATTTGTTGAATGAATAGAGGAGTAATTGAAAGAAGGTTCGTTCCTTATACCTCAATTTCTTTATCAGTACACTATTCCTGCTATGTCATAGGGCTGTGATGAAGTATAAATTAGAAAAGTCCATAATGTACTTATGAAGATTAAACGAGAATTTATGTCAAGTACTCAGAGAGCTGCCTGGAACATAATAAATTCTCAGAAAGTTATTGTATTCGTATTATTTCTAATATTCTCTTGATTTGAGTCCATTGCTAACTGGGTTTAGAAAAGTCTTTTCTGTAAATCTTATCGCTTTAATGTATACACTCACACATGTCTCACCAGGATGGTGTGAATATCAACTAAGGTCTTGGCTAGGAAAATATCCAACCTGCATAAGATGTTTTTGCTCCCTGCAAACCAGAGACAACCATGGCAACATAAAGCTGCCTCGTTTAGATAACTCTTTGTATAGTAAAAAAGGCATTCTTGGTCACAAAGCAACAGATATTCGTATTCCATTTTATCCACCTCTTCTTCATGAGCATCACTATTGTGTTTTAATTTGTTATTGCTCCCAAAATCTGTGTGTCCTAGCTTCAACAATAATAATACATGGGCTTTAGATCTGCTGAAGCCTATGGCCCCCGTCTTAGGTAAGCCTTCACCTTACAGAAAGAGATGGCAGTGTAACTTTGCAAAGGAAATATTTTAGCTTCCATGAAACTAAAGGGAACATGATGTCATTTTTAAAAAGCATTTGTTTGAGAGTCAGAAAACGTGGATATCATTTGTCTTTATCTCTCCTTGGAGACAAATATAAGTGTCTCAATTTCTCCACCTGTAATTCAGATGACTGAAGCTGTTTCTCCATATCTGTGTCTTTCATGCATCACCGTGCAAGACGATAACCTGGGGGAACCTATTAACAATTGAGATTACTGAGCCCACACTCCAAGGATTCTGATAAAGCAGGCAAGTGAGACCCAGGGTTTGTAATTCTGAAGAGCAGTCCAGGTGATTCAGATGCAGGTGGTTCTCAGCCTTTGGGTTGACAAACACCCACTGTAAAATTTCTTCCAGGCCAGACACTCAGCGAACATTTCATTGGTCTTAACTTTCCCCCAGGCAATGTAACATTTCAGAGGAAGCAGACTCCTTTAATGGTAATAAGGACAGGATGACAAACTGCATTCATAGAAAGTAGCTTGTCAGTCTGGAGAGTGGGAACCATAAATTGTCGCTGCTCTACAGAAAACAAACTCACAAGGTTCCAAAGAAGCAGACACCCTGAGGACTTCACCACTGCCAATTTTTCACACATTCAGACCTATTTACAATGGGTAACTCTTGAGCGAATGAGTCTGCCCATTTCTCCAGGGTCTGGCACTGGTGTCTAAGCTGGCAGGCCAGGCGTAACCTCCCCTTCCTCTGATAAGAGCCAGGCGGCCAGCCTCTTGAATCAGAGCACACAGCCTCGTCCTCCCTTCTGCTGGCTGCCCCAGCCTGGCTCCCTTGCCTTGGCAGTTAATTACAGTCCCAGCACAGGAGCTAAAGCAAAGTCTCACTGCCTGTCTCCAGCCTTCCCCAAAGATCAAAGGGAATTTGGAGGGCAAACGAGTCATAAAGCAGTTTTATTATAAATAAATACGATTGTGTTTTCAAAGGGCTCGACTTTAAAAAGAGAGAATATGAACAATGCCAAGACATGAATTTGCTCTCTTGGTTTGCCTCTGTGGCTCTGATGACAAAATGACAACTCAGCTTCTGGAGAGTGGATGGAGTTAAAGAGGGGAAACCTTTGGGGGTTGGAGCATTACTCATTCTTTTTTTCAGCAAGATACATAATCCATTGACATTTACAGAACATTCGTGTGTGTAGAGCAGCATCAGAAGTGCTTCAGGGGAATAATACAAACAGCTACAACTTATTGAATGTTTACTCTGGGCACACTCTGTAGTAAGTGCATTTCAACCTGCAAATCCCAGCTCTTTCATGTAGCATCTGGGTGACCCTGAGCAAGTTATGGCACCCTTCTCTGATTTTCCTTCCTCATTTATCAAATGGGACGATCATGGCATCTACTTCACCTGGGTGGGTGTGGGGGTGTGTGTGTGGGGGTGTGTGTGTGTGTGTGTGTGATGTTTTGCATAGATAGCGTCAGGCGGTCAGGCATGGTAAGGCTTTCATTGCCATTGTCTCATTTCATTTGTATCACCTGCCTCTGATGTGGGTGTGATTATTATCCTTGTTCTACAGATGAGGAAACTGCCTGGCCTGCAGGAGGCGCTCAAAACTACCTGTGGAATCAATTTAATGATTCCTTTCCAAAAAAGCTTTCCCAAGAACCCTGTAGCATAAGTATTGTCATAGCAGGTATTTAGGTGGGAGACTGCAGGCTTTCTGTCTTTTCCTTGGACCAGTGCTCTGAGGGTGATGTTTGTCTCTGTGTGCCTCTTCTGTGGGCACCGTGAGGTCAGGATGTGCTGCTTAGTGTGTGAACCCTCAGGGATTGACCCAAGGCTTTCTCTTCTCCCACAGAGGTAGACTGTGTAGTTGCAGGAAGAGCATGAAAGGGCGTGAGCACAATGACAGAGGAGGTGAAGGAACAGGAACAAAGGACAGGGTTCCTACAGTAGAGGCAGTGGGGCACTGGCCTGGGAGGAGTCTGCTCCAAACAGAAGCTGCCACCATAGAAGTAGCCCTTCAGACTGCAGAGCACTTCACACGGAGCATGACAGCAAGCCTGTGACGAAGGCAGGGCCCCTTTCCTGTCCTGAGTTCACTGAGAAAGATAATAAGGTTTAGACTGTTTACCACATTTGTTCCCAGAGACACAGCAAGTGGAGGAGCCACGTTGGAATCCCTGTCTTCTGTGAGAAGATGCTGATCCAGGCACAGGGCTGAACATCTTACTCCACTGCACTCTCCTGCCTCCAGGGCACTCTCAGAAAACCAGCCGATCTTCTCTATCCTCAAGTCACTGTTCCCAGAGCCTTCAGGTTCAGGACCAAATTTGTGATGGGGGTATTTCTTCCCATCTGCTTCTTTAGTTCTGTTTTCAGGAAACATAAATGACTGAAACCAAGAAATTTTAAAAACATATAGAATCCTTTGTACTTCCCCAGGTTGTGCAAGCCTTCCCTCATAAGCAACCTTCCTGTCATGGCTCCTTCACATCTCCATGAGACAGTCACTTTGTGCCTGTGAAAATCCCTGCCAGCTCACAGTGACTTTAGATCTCCACTTGTCTCGCCCTGATAACCTTTCAACTCCTCCTTACATTCGTCTGAACTGTCTGATTTTTAATTACCAGATCTCTAAGATCACTTGAAAGCGGAAATCATCACCATCTTTATATTGGCAATATTTACACTAACCTTTTCCAAAGGCCAGACTAGAATTACTACAGAAAAGAAAACAATGTGAGGTCTATGTAGGGTAGTCTTGAATTCTCTTTTCTCTGCCATAGTGTGTCCTTTCCTTAGCAATATTAAACTTTGCTAATGACCAGCTCATCCACCACTCCTTAGGCCTACCCATTCCCCAGATGTCCTCCAAGTCAATCAACACACACTGAGGAAACCCAGTTTTATCTTTGAATATCTCTTTCTGTTAGTAAAATTGTTGTCATTATCTTAATAATGTAATATAGTAATGTGAGTCTTATCACAATAATATAAATACTTGTATCCATGTTGTTGGTGGTATTCATGTAACATCATATAATATCCATATAGTGGCAATATTCACTCAAGTGGTTATTGAAATATCTAAAGTCTCTCCTGTGGACCAGCCTCTCCAAAGGACTTTTGATACATTGGCTGAGTTAGACTTCATAACGATTATATGAGAATGGTGTCTAATTCCAGTCTCCAAAGGAGAAAATTGAGGCCCCAACAGAGATGAACAGCTTGCTCAAAGCTTCAGAGCAAATAAGAAGAGTAGGATCTGATCGGGATCCGGGTTCTGGCCCCCATTGGACTTTATCAGCCTTCTTTT